GGTTGAGGCGATGGATGTTGCATGCGTCATGGAGGAGGGAGGGCGTTCCGTCGGCCGAGGGGCCCCCATAGAAGTTCTGGTGGGGAAGGGGAGATACGGGAAAGGGAGACCTTTAATTCGGCCTAGGGATCGAGTAACAACAGGGATGGGAGGAAGGTGGCGGTGTTGAGGAGTTGTCCATCTCTCCGTTGCCATGGACCGACCATCACCTGGTCAGATTTAGACTTACTGCACCTCCCAACCTCTGCAGAGGTGGAGGACCCATTAAGCTGGTCCGCCCTAGGAGGCTTATGGATCCTGATGGATTCCTGACGGCTCTTGGGGAGTTTCCCGCCATCTCGGTAGGTGATTCTGTTGATGCCCTGGTTGCTCTCTGGAATGGGGAGATGGCTAGGGCAATAAACACAATCGCTCCTGAATGTCCCCTCTCAAGTAGCCGAGCTAAACCTGCCCCTTGGTTTACTAAATTTTTGGCTTCAGGTACGCCCTGTGCCTCCTTCCTGGAAACTGGAGGTTGTTCTTTCAGCTCTTTCAAAGCCACCATTTGAGCCAATGGCTGCTTCTGACATATCCCATATCTCCTAAAAGAGCTGTTTTAGGCCTCATGGTTTGGATGCAATTTTGTTTATCAGTAGCTAACTCTATGTACAGGCAGTCCCCACATTACAAACATTCCAACTTACAAACAACATAGTTACAAACGGGGGTGAGGCAACAGGAAGTGAGAGGAATCTATCCGTTGGAAGGAATATTCACTCCTGAAAGAGTTATAATGTGGAAAAGGTGCCCCCAGTGACGCTTTCTCATCAGTGCCAACAAAGAGAAAGAATAAGACAAGTGCAAAGAAGACAGAATGGATGTCCAAAGAACTTCTAACTGTGCTAAGACTCAAAAGAGACATGCACAAGAAGTGGAAAAAGGGAGAAATCACCAAAGAAGAATTCAAACAAATAGCCAACTCCTGTAGGGAAAAGGTCCACAAGGCTAATGCACAAAATGAGCTCAGGCTTGCCAGGGACATTGAAAACAATAAAAATAGCTTCTTTTCTTATGTCAGTCGAAAAAAGAAGAACAAGGAGGTGATAGGGCTTCTTAGAGGAGAAGCTGAGGCAATGCTGACAGGGGATAGGGAAAACGCAGAACTGCTTAATGCTTTCTTTGCTTCGGTCTTCTCACAAAAAGAAAATCACCTTCAACCTGCAGCAAGACCGAGTGGATGAGGGATTAGAGGACATCCAACCCCAAATTGGGAAACAAGTCATCCAGGAATACCTGGATGCTCTTAATGAGTTCAAATCCCCAGGGCCAGATCAATTACACACAAGAGTATTGAAGGAACTAGCGGAAGTCATCTCGGAAGCATTGGCAATCATCTTTTAGTGTTCTTGGAGAACGGGAGAAGTTCCAGCAGATTGGAGGAGGACAAATGTGGTCCCAATATTCAAGAAGGGAAAAAAGGATGACCCAAGCAATTACCGTCCGGTCAGCCTCACGTTGATACCAGGCAAGGTTCTGGAAAAGATTGTTAAGGAAGTGGTCTGCAAACACTTAGAAACAAATGCGGTCATCGCTAATAGTCAACATGGATTTATCAAAAACAAGTCATGCCAGACTAATCTGATCTCTTTTTTCGATAGAGTTACAAGCTGGGTAGATGCGGGGAATGCCGTGGATGTAGCGTACCTGGATTTCAGTAAGGCCTTCGACAAGGTCCCCCATGACCTTCTGGCAAACAAACTAGTCCAATGTGGGCTAGGCAAAACTACGGTGAGGTGGATCTGTAATTGGTTAAATGGACGAACCCAGAGGGTGCTCACCAATGTTTCCTCTTCATCCTGGAAAGAAGTGACGAGCGGAGTGCCGCAGGGTTCTGTCCTGGGCCCGGTCCTGTTCAACATCTTTATTAATGACTTAGATGAAGGGTTAGAAGGCATGATAATCAAGTTTGTAGATGACACCAAATTGGGAGGGATAGCCAATACTCCAGAGGACAGGAGCAGAATTCAAAACGATCTTGACAGATTAGAGAGATGGGCCAAAACTAAACAAAATGAAGTTCAACAGTGACAAATGCAAGATACTCCACTTAGGCAGGAAAAAGGAAAGCAAAGATACAGAATGGGGGGCAATGCCTGGCTCGAGAACAGTGCGTGTGAAAAAGATCTTGGAGTCCTCGTGGACAACAAGTTAAACATGAGCCAACAATGTGATGTGGCGGCAAAAAAAGCCAATGGGATTTTGGCCTGCATCAATAGGAGCATAGTGTCTAGATCTAGGGAAGTCATGCTCCCCATGCTCTATTCCGCTTTGGTTAGACCACACCTGGAATATTGTGTCCAATTCTGGGCACCACAATTCAAGAGAGATATTGACAAGCTGGAATGTGTCCAGAGGAGGGCGACTAAAATGATAAGGGTCTGGAGAACAAGCCCTATGAGGAGCGGCTTAAGGAGCTGGGCATGTTTAGCCTGAAGAAGAGAAGGCTGAGAGGGGATATGATAGCCATGTATAAATATGTGAGAGGAAGTCATAGGGAGGAGGGAGCAAGCTTGTTTTCTGCTGCCCTGGAGACTAGGACGCAGAACAATGGCTTCAAACTACAAGAAAGGAGATTCCACCTGAACATGAGGAAGAACTTCCTGACTGTGAGAGCTGTTCAGCAGTGGAACTCTCTGCCCCGGAGTGTGGTGGAGGCTCCTTCTTTGGAAGCTTTTAAACAGAGGCTCGATGGCCATCTGTCAGGGTGCTTTGAATGCAATATTCCTGCTTCTTGGCAGGGGATAGGACTGGATGGCCCATGAGGTCTCTTCCAACTCTTTGATTCTATGATTCTATAATTCTTGTTTCCTTAACAAGCCAAAATTATAAAATCCAGTTATCACAGGGACAGAAAGTGAGGTGAAATCTTCTGAACAGGGACACAGACAGCAAAACAAACACCACAGCAGTGTTAACCTTTCCATATGCTATCCAAAGTGATAGATGGATGGATGGATGGATAGATAGATAATCACCTTCTAGCACACTAAAACCACTGATTAGTATTGCTACGTATACATTATGGTGATCATACAAAGACCAAATGCCACATCCAGGAGGGAACTTAAGGGCAAAAGAGTATGGTGAGTGATAAATGCCTAGGGGTAGGAAATGTGGATTCTTTTACTGCTGGGTCGAACGAGATAGATTTTTTTAGATCTTTATAGTAATTGGTGTTTTAATAATATTTGTGGTAAATTTGTTTTCAGCTTACTTTATTAATCTTGACATCTCTGAAATAAGCAATCTAGTCAATGACATTTGAGGTTTCGTAAAAGCAATCTAAACATAATTGACCCATGGCCAAGAATTAAAGTGTAATGTGATTAGTTTTCTAAAACAAATGGTCTTTAATGGTCCTATCCTCCAAGCAAGGATGTTCATAAATATTTGTATATCATTTGTCTATTATGACTCAAAGAAATTAGCGTAATGCTATCACTTTTGTATCACTACATAGTTTTAAGTGTGCCTCAAAGTCATTAGAAATACTTCACACTAGAATGACATAATTAGATTGCTGAGTCTACTGTGGATTAATAGGCATTTAATATTATGCAAATTAGATCTAGGAAGCTTAGATTACTGCATGATCAGATTCCTCAACACAAAAATATGAGATTCAAGTAAGCTGTGAATATAGTGACCTATGGGAATCGAGCACTGAATCGAGCATTATGATGTTTATGGTATCCTTTTGAGAGCAGATAAGCCAGCGATTAAATAGAGTAAGTGTATTGAAAATAGAAGTAAATAGAAGAAGAACTGCTATTAAAGAAAACAAAATTTCCCAAGCCTTTCATCCTATAATTATATTTAGTTCTGAGCCAGGTAGGATATTTCAGTGACACATGACTAACCATGAGTTGGTAAGTACTATTCTCAAGGGAACAATCCAAATATACAACTACAAGTTAAAATAAGCAAGTTAACTAATAAAATTGTAATTGGGAGAGCTTATGTGACTGAATTGAAGGTTGACTTATGTGATTCCTACAGGATTCCAAATAGGTTTATAAATTACAGATGAGACAATCTTTCCCAAACCCCTTGGTAGCATAGCAATACAAATAAATGTTGCTGGCTCTGTTTGGAAAGATGCTTTACAGAACTCCACTCTTCACTAACAAACACCACTCAGGGGGAACTAATCACAGTCAAATTTTCGGCCCTTCTAAGGAATCCTCATGGGAAAGAAAATCACCATAAGCTTGAAAGACCAGATTCTACCTACCATCCAAGGGAAACCCATGATCCATCTCAAAGAAGGAGACATCCACCAACGTCTAGGTACATCAGTAGATTTTCAAAGCTGCCAGATCACTGAGGCCATTGTGATGCTTGGCAAAAAGACAGACGTGTCAATCTTAGCCTTGTGGTAAAATATTGCTTTGCTTTGGACTTTCTTACTCATGAGGATCGACAACCTAAATAGGGTCAAATAAACATTGCTCTCCTTAAAAGTGGCCCATTCTTCCTAGATCAGCCATTAATAAGATCCTATACACTGCTCAATGATGCAAATGAATATGGATTCTAAAGCTGGGGAATTCAGGGGATGCTGCAACCATCATTTATACAGCCCTTATGAAGTAGGTGCCAGTATGATGTGGTGGTTTGAAACAGATAGGTCAGAGCATAGAGGAGAGATTGATTGCATGGGTCTCCTTTGGCTTTCACAATTGGAAGCAGCCTAAATATATGCTGTCCACAATGTGTTTTATTTATTTCCATGCGTAGTTCTAGGTCACATGAGAAAGTTGGGGTATACATTTAATAGATAAATAATAAATAAGTTTATATAATATTTTGCAAAATCCCAATATTCCCTTATCCTGCTGTTCTGGATAACGCAACAGTTAAATAAAAGTTATGTTATACCCAAGATATAAAAGTTACAGTAAGACAGTATGAAGTTTGTGTGTCATTTGAATGCATCAACTTTGTTTCTTTTTTCTTAGTAATGAATCTAACACTCCTGATGAAGTGGTAGCTGTACATGGATTTTACAATCAAGGGGACAACTCAAGTAATGGTATGCATTTTTTTCCAATCACCTGTTTCCTTTTTAGTCTTTTATATCTATCTTTTATATCTGTCTAGTGACTTGCAGCATGCAAACAAGCAAGCAAAACAACCAACGGACCTTTTCAGGACCAACCATGGCAATAATTTCAATCAACATTGAAGGCATGTCAGCTGCCAAAGAACAATACAAATAAATATTGCTGTGCCAAGATAAGAAATGCAATGTGCTGTGTGTCCAAGAAACACACAGGGATGAATAACAGAAATGACCCAAAGTTCCAGGAATGATCCTAGTAGCGGAAAGACCACATGCACAGTATGGAAGTGCTGTATTTGTCAAACAAGGCCTCCAAGTCAGCAGTGCCCACAACACTGAAGAAAACAATATAGAGGTTACAAAAGTAGAGCTTAATAACATCACAATCACTTCTGTGTACAAGCCCCCAAATGAAGAGTTCTGTTTCTCCTCCCCCAAGAACTTTGATAGGCACCAAAGGGTGGTAGTAATTGGTAACTTTAACAGCCATAGCCATGTATGGGGCTATGCTCAAGAGGACAAAAATAGAGAGGCTGTCCTCTCCTGGTCTGAACTGCACAAACTATCACTCATCCATGATAGTAAGCTCCCACTATTCTACAACAGCGGGAGATGGCACCAAGGATATAACCCAGACCTCTTATTTGGTAGCGACAGCATTGTACAGCAATACACTAAATCAGTGGGACCACCAATTCCAAACATACAGCGCCGACAAATAGTATGCCAACTGTTCCCGACAATAAGGCCTCAGGAAGTTCAATTTAAACGAAGATTCAACTTCAGAAAGGCAGATTGGACTAAATTCTCAGACATGTTAGATGACATGATCACATCGGTTGCACCAATCCCTGAGGAATACGAGCACTTTATTGAAATCGTGAAAACCTGTTCACGGACCTCTATACCGAGAGGCTTTAGAACCAACTACCTTCAGGGCATTACTCCTGAAACAGCTGCCTTGTTGGAAAACTATTACAGGCTCCACAACAAAGACCCATTTAGTGAGCAAACTCTTCAGGCAGCGCAGAGCATTGTGTCCTCCATCTCTGAAGCCAAGAAAGAACAGTGGATAAAGCTGATCACAGAGGTCGACATGGGCAGGAGCAGCAAGAAGGCATGGAGGCTGCTAAGATGGCTGAGCAATGACCCCTCACAAACTAATACCCATGCCAACATAAGGGCAGATCAGATAGCACACCAACTCTTGAAGAATGGGAAACCCGACCATGCCACCAAGGTAGGAAAGAAACCAATAGCCAGACAACCAGAGATTGAGAACCACCTTCCTGAACCCTTTACATCTGCTGAATTGGACATGGCTCTCAATAAATGTGAAAATGGCAAAGCAGCTGGCCTGGATAATCTACGGATGGAACAAATCAAGAACTTTGGTCCAAAAGCAAGGTGCTGGCTGCTGGAGCTAATGAACAACTGCATTGTATCCTGTCAGATCTCCAAAATCTGGAGGAAAGCAAGAGTCATCGCCATCTTGAAGCCAGGCAAAGACCGTAATGACCCAAAAAGCTACAGACCAATCTCCCTATTGTGCCACCTTTACAAAGTTCTGGAGAGACTTATTTTGCATAGAATTACGGAAAAAATAGACCCATGTCTGACCCCACAGCAAGCTGGCTTCAGGAAAGTAGTCTAGCCACTTTGAGTCCCCTTCAGGGTGAGAAGGGTGGGGTATAAATATAGTAAATAAATTATTGTATTGCAATGATGGGGTAGGGAAGCAAAGTACTTTACATTTGGGAAGTGGGAAGCAAATGCATTATGGATTTAAAATTCTTGTATTATGAAGTGCTTTCTTCTCTGTCATCACATCTCCTTTCTGCCAGTTCACAGACCCACTTAAAATATATTCCACTGAAGCCATTAATTTGCTTTTGTTTTTGTTCAGGCTTTCAGCTGGACTCTTAAAGATGATTTTTAGAGGTAGTTCTGAAGAAGACTCTTCAATCTCATTGTTATAGACACTATTCCTGAATTCATAATAGATGGTTAATGTAAACATCTCACTGGAAGACAGTTCCTTCTTTCGACAAGAGAAATCTGATTATTTGAGCAAGATAAATAGATTGCAACTTTATTTGAAAAAGGAAAGAGAAAATTTATTTTAAGCCTGTGCACTCCTGATACTTTGGATTGTAATTTAAAAACCACTGGCTATTCTGGCTGGGATCTGTGGGTGTTTTGGGTCAAAGCACCTGGAAGACATTAGATTGCCCTTTCTTGGCTATTTGGACATTGTCTTGTCTTTTCTGAAACATAGAACATTATTCCAATAAAAAGAAATTACTTCTTCATATTAAAAAAATCTAGTTACATACTATGCTTTCAGTTTATATATGCATTTTTTTGTCTTGACTAGCTTTTTATAATACATAGTTATATATTGTTGAGCATATCTTATCTAGAATTCTAAAATACTTCAAAAGTGAAAATTGTCTACATGAATGGCTGAAATAGTGTCATCTTTGGTTTCTAATGGTTCACTGTAGTAGTACATTTTATTGATTAGCCCACCGGCCCATTGGTTCACTGTATACAAACTTTGTTTCATGTACAAAATTATTAAAAATTGTGTATAAAATTACTTTTAGACTGTGTGTATAAGGTACAAGCAGACCCCAAGTTACAATTTAAGAACAAGTATACAGTAAAAACTTCAGCCATGGCTGTCTATGTATCTATCAATTGTAGCTCTGAATAGCATAGAGAAGGGTGAACACCCTGTGGTGTTTGTTTTGTTCTCTGTGCCCTTGTTCATAAGATTTTACTCCACTTTCTGTCCCTGTAATTATTGGATGTTGAAAAATTTGGCTTGTTGTGAAAATTGGTGGAGACACCTTTTCCCTCATGATAATTATTTCAGGAGTGAATTTCCCTTCCAAAGGATAGATGTCTTTCACTTCCTGTTGCCTCATCCCCATACTTAACTATGAGTCATTTGTAAGTTGGATGTTTGTAAGTTGGGGACTGCCTGTATATATGAAGCATAAATGAATTTCATGTTTAGATTTGCATCCCATCTCCAAGATATCTCATTATATATGCATATGTAAACACAGATATCACAAATTTGGGGGGGGGGGGCATTGCATTTTTTGAGTTCCAAGCATTTTGGATTAGGGATACACACTCATATATGAATTTATTCCAATAGAGAGGATAATTTCAACCTGATTTCTAAATTATTCAAAGGCATCCTGAAAATTTTACTTTTCTGTCTATGAAAGAGTACTCACTATCTCTGCCTTCCCATCTTTCAGCTCCTGCTCTCCTGCAAGCTGCTTTCTGAACTTAATTATAGTTCAGAGGTCACCTTTGTTAAAATTGGATAATAAAAATGGCAAACATGAATGAAAAGATGCAGTCATGTAGTTTTTCATAGCAAGAATTCAGTTTCATTTTGTAGATTAGGAATTCAATGCACAAGATATAATTGTTACCAAACATTTGCAATTTTAGAGTTATAGCTTACAATATTTCTTTACTGGAGCAGATATATTTCTTGTTTTTGATACTGTATGTGGACCTGTATTTCATATTTTAACAGGTAATGGAGTTAACTACTTACAAGAGTTCTTCAGCCCCAAAGAGATAATATTATTGGGCAAAGAGAGTTCTACAATCCTTGACCTTCACTATCTTCCTTTTAGTTTGGGAAAACGTTACTGTGCCATAATTTTGGTCAATCAGCAGGTAAATATAATTTTAAAAACTTAATCCATTCTGGATGAAATTCAGTATGGTAACAGCTAGGTTGACATCTGCAACGTCATGTGAACAGATCCACTGCTGTCTTTTGAATGGATTGATTCATAGCTGCTGTTTTATATCTATTTGTCCAGAAGCACCAAGGAAATCACTGTGGCTTTCTCTGAGTAGGCATTTATAGGATTGTACTGTAATTCTATTTTATGTGGGGATTTTATGAGTCATAATGGTGCATTTTCCAAGAAAGGAAGCAGCACATTTTATATTCTTTTAAAAAGTATTCATCTCTGTAATAAGGTACTTGTTTAGATCACAAGTTCCTAAAAGATTCCGGATCATCGGAGTCTAAATGGGAGAGTTTTCGAAACTTATTTTTACTACATGTGCAAATGGTGAAGAAAGTGGTGTTTGCTGTTTGACATACTCCATGTACAGATGTCAGGTTTGCCTACAGGTATGACCATAAATTGTCAAGGTCTATTGAATGGAACCTGCATTTCACAGTTAATGAATGGGATCAGATTGTCCTAATAAAGATAGAAATATTGCTTTAAATTAGCAGCAATTGGAAGACTAGTGTGGGCTTCCACCCTAGTAGATATTAAAAACCTCTCTCTGTGTGTGTATAAATAGCTGAGTAACAGTGAGTTCTACCTTTTCTGACTCCAGTGAATAAAAAATGTATCATGAGTGAAAATGTATCTGCCAAATCAAATGGTTTTTCTGTCCTTGAGGTTTTCAGCTATTACGTACACACTGGAAAAAGCATAGCAAAACAAAGTAACGAGGGGAAAAAAGCGCTTCCTAGATCATTCTGTGCCTCAATGCAGTGTCTGGATAATCAGAAGCCCCATTTTCATTGGTTGATCCTATGGCGTTCTAGTATATAAATACTTGCTCTCCATGTACAGAGGCAGTTACATATTTACTTTTTAAATTGTGATTATTTATTACTCCTTAAATTGCAATTTTTAGTAGTTAATGGAAAAGTGACTTTGAGGCCATTGCTAAGGTGGTGAGTTAAGAAAAAGACAAAATGATTACGGGCCTTCATAATTACTTTATATACTCATTAATAAGTTGACCTCATGAACAGGTAGAGGGCAGGTTTGGGGGCCAAAATTACCATATATACTTGTGTATACATTGACCTCAAGAAAATGTAGAGGCTTGGGGCCAAAATTATGGATTTTGCTATGATTTGTTGATAAGTTGAAAATCATTTTGTGGATTGGGGAAATCATCAGTACTATCCTAGGGGCCAACTGCCCTTGACTTCTGCAATTTTCTCATCCAGGCATTTAAAAAAAAAAACAAGCAGCGTCGCACAGCATAGAGAGTAGTAGAGCAGGTTGGTGCTTATTTTAAATTATCCTAGGACAGGCTAAGCTCTTGCCTTTTACTACTCTGCTCAGATAAGGGAATGGCTCCTTTGTATGTGTGTGTGTGTGTATATATATATATATATATATATATATATATATATATATATACACACACAGGCAGTCCCCAAGTTAGGAACAAGATAGGCTCTGTAGGTTTGTTCTTAAGTAGAATTTGCATGTAACTCAGGACAGTTACTTTTTAAAGTGTAACTCCAGTCACACACGCAGAGACACATGTATAAGCTTTGGATAGCATAAGGAAGAGTTAACTCCTCTGTGATGTTTGTTTTGCTGTATGTGCCCCTGTTCAGAAAATTTCACCTCAATATCTGTCCCTGTGATTATTGGATTTTGAAAAAAATTGGCTTGTTGTGGAAACAAGGATTGTTGAGAAAATTTCAGGGGAGACACCCTTTTCCCATTATAACTATTTGAGGAGTGAATTTTCCTTTTGAGAACTAGATTTCACTCACTTCCTGTTGAGTCCTCCCTGTTCTTAACTATGAGTCATTTGTAAGTCAGATGTTTTCTAACCTGGGGATTGCCTATATATATGAGTTAATGTAAAGTTATGTATTTTTAAAACATTTATATTCCGCCCTTTTCACCCCAAAGGGGATTCAGAGTGGAGCACAGCATATATACGGCAAACATTCAATGCCAGGACAATAATTCATATGCGCATACATAAACATTAAAACATTTCTTTCATCATAGAATCATAGAGTTGGAAGAGACCTCATGGGCAATCCAGTCCAACCCCCTGCCAAGAAGCAGGAAGAAGCATCAATCTGCAAATAAATCAACCTGCATCTATAATATTTTTTGATTAAAAATTCTAGACTTGTACATGAGTATCCAGTACTAAAGATAGGCAATTACCGTATATTTTATATTGTGTCTTGTGCCGTTACGCCCAGACGCTTTAATATAAAACTTTGACGTGCTGCTATCTAGGTCTGGGCGAACTGCTGGGGTCTTTCTTTAGAAGATTGAGCTTTCTTGAATAACTGAGTCCACTTCAAGTTTGAAACATCAAACAGGGTATTTATTCACGCAGTCCTGGTAGACTTGGCTCAACTTATCAATATTACAAAACAAACAGTCAATTGGGGTTCAGTAGTTGAGGCAATCTTTCTCCAAAAAAAGGGTATAACTTTCTCCAAAAAGGGTATCTCTATAACTATCTAGATAATCCTCTATAACTATCTAAATAGTTCTCTTTTAATCTATCTCTAACTAAATAACTCAATCAAACTCAATTGTTTTCTATCTATGACTCAATTGTTTTTACAATGGTATCTTCGGAGGTACCTGTTTGCCAACAGCACATCATGGATTCTTCCTTAAGACTGAAGGGGAAGGGAGACCTCCAAAATGGATGCTTCTACCCTGGAAACAGGGGCGGGCCCAAAGAGCTACTCTTTGGCCAGTCATTGCAGAGAACCTGCAAACTGGCTTTCCTGCCTCTGTCTGCTAACCTTTTAGGCTTAGCAAAGGCTGCAGCAGCCTGGGATAAACACAAGGAGAGGCTGTTTCCAGCAACTAAAAGGTAATGCAAAACCCATGCTCCTGGGAGACGGAACATGTCTCCATTTTGGTTTCTTTAAGAGACTTTCAAGTAAATACATGAAGCATTCTTGCAAGTGGAATCTCAGTGAATTTTTCTTTGTGATCTGTGAGCCTTCTAAATTGTTCTGTGTGAATTGTTTTCAGAACTGAAATGCTTATGTTCTTCTCTTTCAGATTGGGGAATTTGTGTACCTGGTGGAAGGAACATGTGGCTTACCATTGCCCTCAGGCTTGCTTGGAATGGACAGTCCAAATGTTCTCTGCATTAAAAATATGTTAGAAGGTAGGGTAGAAGAATGCAGGAGTGTGTGGAGCAGATTGTTTTTGCAGAACATTCAACTTTAGGTGCACTAAATACAGAAATAAATAAACTATTTTAAATAGTTAATGACCACAAGATATACATTAATACCATTGTTCCACAAGTGGTAGACAAATGTTTTGATACAGATTATAATGTATGCATTGCTTACATGTAGTCTGGTACAAATAATCAGGCACTATTTTCATTTTTAGATATACCAGAATCAGTCTTAGTTTCTCAGTATGGTGTCTTTGCAGTATATCATTATGATTTGATTGTATTACCAGTGTTTCAGGTGGATGTTTCTAAATCTCCAAGTATGGAGATTTGATATACATAGTTATAGTTTGATAACTGGTCAGAAATGAGCAGGTACAAAGCAGCAATTCTTAAACGTGTTTCAGTACTAGAAAGCTGTTTAGCTGTTTTTAAAGTGGCTATTTTCAAAATAGTTATGCAATGTTACTTATTCACTTTGGTGCATAAAGATCACATCTGCAGCCCTTGTACAATTAGTATCCTCTAGCCATGCGGCCATAAGAATTTATTGCTGGTTGATAATGACCACAAGCTGACAATCCACGGGTAGTCAAAGGAGAAAGAAAGTTAATTGTAATTCCTGAAGATAATTGCTTGCAGAGCTTTCATTCACCTCACATGGATCCATATAGGAAATTACCTGTAGTTATTGCTCAAGTGACCTTTCTTTCATGGGTTACAATTCAAACATACTTCTGCATGTCCATTTAATGAGTGCCAAACAGCCCTGTCACTAAGGAATTGATGCTTGTGGAGACGGTGTGTCCCTGGGCTTCTCCAGTACAGGACACACACTGACATAATAGTGTTAAAGAGAAATATAGCTACAGTTCTTTAGCACCAGTGGGTCAGAGATACACCACATTGACAATCAGACATTTAAAACCTTTTAGCAGTTCACTTGACCTCTTTCTGTTTAATTGCATTCAATTTTATGTACTCAGTACTTGTTCTCATGTGGTGCTTCTGAACACAGCCAGCAATTTGAGCTGCAATTCTGGAAATGAGTTTTTGTGACTACACATTTACATATACATTGGGTATTGGGTCTGTTTATGCCATGCACAAATCACCAGCCATGCCCTCATATTATTTTCTTTATAATATGTTTAAACCATAGAAAAATATTTTGACATGTTCATGGCTTGTGAAATTTATTTCTAGATGTCTGGCTCCCTTTGGCAATTTTTTTAAAATTCCTGTCATATGAAGAAGTGAGAAATAAGATCTGTTTCTAGCATTACCATTTAAAAGAGAGGGAAATAAAGGGAAAACACTTATACAGTTTTAATAGAATTGTAGTTCATCTTTTTGTGTATGTTAGCTACCTGCTTTAAATGGCAGTTTGAAAATCAGTTTGTTTGCCCCAGTGTTTTTCTGCATAATGGCAGACGGTTAAAGAAATGGAAATTCAGATTGACAACTTCCCCCCATGCCTTAGCAAAAGTATGACATGAAGAAATTTAATAGATTAGGTATATGCATTCCATTTATTTCTAGGCTATGAAAAGTTTAATCTTAGCTGTTAAATGCACAGAAGCCTTGCTGCTGAATAAATTTGCAAGACATTTACTAACCTACTGATACTTATGATTTTCTTATATTACAAAAGTGCTATCCCAAATACCTGGTCAGATCTACCATTTCCAGTTGGACTGCCCAGGTTTTGTTAATACGTGTCAGCTTTGCTGCTTCATTATTGATCAAATGATGGGTGTACAAAATTTTATTATTAACCAACCTAGAATTCAAAGTCCTAGCTTTAGCCCTAAATGGTTCCTGCTCAGCTTACCTATCCAAACATATCTTCCTCTATGAACCATCTCAGAGATTAAGATACTCTGCGGAGGCTCTCGGTCCCACCTCCCACGCAGGTGCGGTTGGTGAGGATGAGAGACAGTGCCTTCTTAGTTGTGGGCCCTTGGTTGTGGAACTCTCTCCCCAGTGACATAAGTTCAGCCCTCTCCCTCCTGACCTTTAGGAAAAAAACTGAAAACATGGATCTGGGACCAAACTTTTGGTTAATATATCACTGCAGTATGGGATTGTGGAATGGTGCAGTGATAACTGGAACGGTTTGGGCCACGATATTGGATTATGTGATTTTAATAATTTTAATGTTGAAATGTTTTTAGTGGTTATTTTAATGTATGTTTTATTTATCATTGGATGTGTTGTATGGTGCGATGAATTGCTTACCTTTAGACCAAAATAAACTCAGGAATTAGGCCCAGTTTTTTTTGGCATCCATTTTGTATGGAGCCTGGAAGCAGCCATCTCAGGTTAGTCATTTCCTAGTGGAGGCAGAGCTTAGAAGCCTGGGGGGAAATGTGGAGAACCATTGTGATTGGCTGGGAGAAAGTGGGTGGAGCTTGGTTGAAGTGTAGAGAAAAAAAGAGCTTAGAGGAGAGTTTTTTTTAAAAAAACTGACAGTCAGTCAGGTTCTGGGTGTTGAAGAAGTTAGTCAAGGTCTGGTGTTTGAAGGAGAGAGTTAGGAAAAGGAGAGTGGAAGTTAGAGAAGCCAAAGGAGTTAGAGAGTTCAGAAAGCTATTAGGGAAGAATAGCTGGTATAGTGATTACAAACAGATCCCAGGAAAAAGGACTGTTTTTGAAGTAAAAGGAGTCTAGTCAGGAGGAAGTCTGCTAGTTTTCTGAGGGAGTTAAGAGTTTTATTGGAAACCAAGTACTGAACTGGTTTAAAGAAACCAAATAAGCTTCATCTCATTCTTGCAACCAATAAGCTTAAGTGCCTTAAGTTTTTTTAAAAACTACGCAAATAAACAACTTTGTTCTTTGTTAACAAACATTTGCCTCAGTGTGCCTCTGTGTGAAGAAGTATCCATAACACATTAAGGAGACAGAGTTTCCAGATCGGTGGCAGCAACTACTTAGAAGAATCTCAATAATATCCACCTCAGTGTTCTGGGCCTGAGTTCAAATTCAGCACAATCCAGCTTACTTCCAATATACTGGACAAATAATAACTAAGAACCCTTTTGTCTTTGGTGGTAGCCTGATTCATAATACAATCTCCTAAGAATATCAGTAATAGGTGGCAGCGACATGAAGATTATTCTACCTTTGTCGAATCAGTTTTAAGTGCCTTAAGTCATTACATTTATTGGTGGCCATCGTTTGGGACTGTTAGTAAAAATCGTTCTTTACATATAGCATTGAATTGTGCCTTTATGTTTTTCGCTCTGAGTCCCCTTCAAGCTGAGAAAGGGTGGGATATAAATATGGCAAATAAATAAATAAATAAATAAATAAATATAATTAAACAGCAGTACCGCAAGCCTGCTGGGCTTATTGGAAGAGCCACCTGTAAAGACAGACTTGAGGGAAAGGGCTGAACAAGAAGTTATGTGTAAATATGTGGGCCCCCATATTAAACTATGCCCTTCAAGCTTTAATTCCCTGTCTTGTGGAAACAAGAAGACAAATTGTTCTGTTATACGCTCTCTTACATACAACTATAATGAGCTTCTATATACAGCTACAGTCTCATTTCTTACCAACTGTGTACAACAGCCAATTGGCATAGCCTGGTGATAATTCTTACACCACTCTTCTGATACCAGCTTCAGGAAACACATCAAACACATCTAGAGCCAATCCTCTGCATGATTCCAACAAATAATATTTACCAAACAGCTACTGTCTTCAGAGCGTAGCATTCTTCTTTCACCCTCAAAAAATGTCTCATGCATTGAGAACTAAAAGTATATAACAAATTTTACTTCTTTCTATAAAATTATATATAAGACCATACAATATTGTATAGTTCCATGGAACTACCTAATAACTCTGGAATAAACTATAGGGATACATTAAATAATCCACAAATATTCTACTTGCTTCTTTTCTCCTTTTTTCAGCCCACTTCTAATGGCAGCAATTATAGAAAACAGATACATTCATGCAGGATCTAACAAAAGTCTGGTCTTTCAGAGATGTTCTTCCATGTTTTTGTCCCTTTTAGATTTCGTCCAGGTCTATGTTCTACCACCCTAGTCTATCACCCAGTGATAAACCTGCCCTATTCTCACTCTAGACTGGTTTGTGTCCTATCACTTCCTTATCCAGCCACAGAGCAATTCATTGGGAAATCTGTAATATGACATTAACTTCTCAATGAATCTTCATATTTTCATTTTGTGTTTTGAATAGTACTGCCAAGGGGGAGCTGACAAATGGCTTTCTTCATTGCAGGCCAAAGTGAAGAGGAGCCCACTCTTTATCTGAAATGCTGCCTTACTGATGTACTTCAGGAAAAGCTGAAGGTTCCTCTAATCAATAAGGCCAGGGAGAATGCTCTGGCTATTGCAGCACAACAACAGATGTCTACTTTGGAGTATGAGCGAAGGAAGATCACAGGGACACTTGAAAGCAGCAGTGTTCGAGTTGCAGTAGCAGCTTTAGGATTTTCAAGAGTTGAGGTGACAATACTATCAGTTTAAAATATAAAAAGAAGAACAAGGTAGAGGGGTGAAGGAACTGAAATGATTTATCTACCCTGATTGAATGCAGTACGGGTTTTTGTGAATTTCTGTCTACTTTGTCAGCTGCACTAATGGAGTAATTTTAAAGACATAATTATTTCAGCATAGTTGCACAGTTGTATAGGTGGGACAGAATGTAACAGAATATAAAAATATGCAAGGCCATATATATCCAATAAATTGTGTAAGAAGATATAGGTTTTTTTTTTAAAAAAAGAGGCTAATTTGTTGGTCTTGAAGTGAGAACACAATAAAACCTTTGAAATAAGAGAAAAAATGTTGTTTCTTATGTAACAGGTCTGATATGACACCCTAATCTCTGTTCGGACTTTTGATAATGGGTTGGAATTTATGAATATGCCCCACTACAACAGTTTGTCCTTTATTATCTTCCTTTGATTTTTTTTTCATGAACAGAAGGTTGAAATGCTCACCATCTGATTTGGGAGTACTGTAGTTTCTCATGTCAGATTTGTATCCATTTATCCTCTTCATAGAGATTGTCCTGTTAGTCTCGTCTAGAGAGCAAAGAAGACAAATGGACACAAATGTCAGAGCAGACATTACTAGAGATGCAATTCTTCACTAATTTTGTAAAACAAAATGATAATTTTGGCAATTTTCTTTTCAATGTGAGTTTTTTTTTATAAACTGTCCACTTTTGAAGACTTTTTACAGTTTGGGGTGTATTTTGTGCAAATGCCCATGTAATTTTTGTGTGCGTAGGAAACAGCATTTTCTTTTCAGTAAATTGAATTTTCTGTGCAGAACATTTAGAACCCCCCCCCCCAGAAGTGTCTATGGGCTCTTCTTGTGCAATTGTATGGCATACTTCCAGCCCAAGTATAGTCAAAATGTAGAACCTGCTATTATCCATGGTTTCAGGTATCCATGCAGGTCTTGGATGTGAGGGTTGTACTGTACTGCAATTTAACTGTTGAAGGTAGATCTAATTGATCTTGCAAAACTGACAAGGATAGATACTCATAAGGTACACTAGATATTGAGTTAAAGTAGAAATCCCATTTTCTGCCCATGTCTTCCATAGAAGTGTCACCCAAACTTTAAGTCAGGAGTTCCACATATGGTCAGTTAAGTATTGGCCTATGGATCAAACAGTAATTGGAATGATAATATTTAATACACAGTTCTAACTTCATGAATTATATATTTTAATGTGTTTTTTTGAGTTTTGTATCTAAAAGCAGATGAGCACAAATCGTTTAAAGAACCCCCCCCTTTTTTTTTACAGAAAGACATTCTCTCAAACTCCCTTAATTTTTCTGAAAAACATATTGAATACAGTGTTGAAGGAAGCATGCCTGAGTGTTTTGAATTCCCTGGGAAAATATACATACCTGTGTTGGCATCAAGCAGAGTTAATTCTACACAGCTGGGAATCAAAGTTCAGTGGTATACAGAAAAAGCAGGTAACAAGCATTTTATTAGTAAATTTAATTAATGAAAACATTCTGTGAAGTTCTTTGCAAACTACCTGCTAGGTTTTCTTGTGTCCAGCTGTGATCAAAGACACAATATCATCAACAAAAGCAAATAAATTCAGTTTTGGGAGGTGATGTGCCCTTGAGAGCCACTGAGCTCATGTTCACCACTCCTGCCTTCAATCTTTATCATAAGTGCACACTATATATTCAGCCAAGTGTAAGTGTAGAATAATTAATTTTTATATTTATAGTTGTTATAATTTTGTGAATATATAGTTATCTAATTTTTGTGAAGGTATAATTGAGATGCAATATTCCTGCTTCTTGGTAGGGGGTTGGACTGGATGGCCCATGAGGTCTCTTCCAACTCTTTGATTCTATGATTCTACAATTTTGTGAATGATGATGAACAGGCAAATACTGGTAAACATTATTATTTTTTTTTTAGAATAATGAATACACTGGTAAAAAACTTATTAGCTAAAGGTAAAGACAAAACACCATAATAGCAAAAGGGAAGGAAGCAGGAAAAGAAACATTTGACAAAAAAAGTTTTAGACCATTTTAAGTACATAAAATATAATGCTTGTTTCTTTTTACATGCTTGATTCTTAAAGTATTAATTTGAAATTATTTTAATAATAATCATAAATCTTTAGTATCAAATGCCAAACAGCTTCCTAGCTGAGCATTGCTCTCAAGCTGAGAAACTTTGATCCAGCTGCAATAAATAAATAAGACAGCTCCTTTCTGATTTCAGGGATGTTTTAAAGAAGTAGAAATAGTTGCCCATATGAATTATTACTTCTTTTTCTGTATAAAATCCTTGGAAAACGTCTATTATTTCACAGTGGCAGAAAAGCTGCCTGAGATTTATATTAAATTACAGAAAGTATAAAAATAAAAAGAAATTTGTTTTACCTACCAACTTAGTAATTCATTTCACATTAAAATCCCCTTTTCACCCCAGCAGAACTGCATGCTCTCAACTTAAACTAAAATTAATATCAGGGGGTAGAAATAATTAATGTGAGTGGGATGGCAGAAGTCTGATGCCATGGTGTACTGAGCAGCATGTTGTCTTCTTACCAGTCTCCACTTCCTGGCTGGCCTAGCCACAACGGTGGCTTGTAATCTCTTGGACCACTTGTTCTAAGGCAATGAACTGCTGCTTCTCTGACTGGTTATATCAATTCCAGACACTGCTGCAGCCAATTGCCCAACTGACACACTCGGTTGTATGTAGCAATGATTTATACTGCTCTACACCATCTAACTTTTCATCTAGATCTTGTTCAAGATGGATCAACATCACTTCAATTAATCAGTGTTAATAAGTTGGCTAACCATAGTGGGTTGGATCTAAATGTAGTCATCTTATTATCATGTGGAGGTGACCCCAGACTCTATAAAAGTATGTTAGGATAATCCAGTATCAAGGAGAGTCTACTTCGCTGGTAAAATTTCATGTAGGATCTTGATGGCAGAATGCATGACTCCTGTCTGAAAGGATTTATGCTAGCTCAATAGAGAAAGTTGGCCATCGGGTGACAAGGTGACCCAATGTAGCTCAAAATTGGCCTGTTGTAGCTCAAATTAATTTGTCACATAATGGTTGAACATCAGATGAAAAATTATATTACAATTATTTGGATTGGTAATGATATTAAACCAATAAAGTAAACTGCTTCTAAGTATTACAGTTGGTGATGATAGGCAAGAACTTAATAGAAGACCACTTAGATCACCATGAAGGAACTAGTTAAATTCTTCAACTATATAAAGATATATAATTAAACACCAAAGTCAGAATCACTAAAATGGAACCATATATATTTCAGCCATCCATGATGGGTGGATGGTATCCTTGAAGTGACTGGCTTGACCTTGAAGGAGCTGGGGGTGGTGACGGCCGACAGGAAGCTCTGGCATGGTCTGGTCCATGAGGTCACGAAGAGTCATAAGCGATTGAACAAATGAACAACAACATATTTCAGCCAAAAGGTCTCTTGCCCATTTACTGTAGTAGTTTATCCAATGACACTACGAGGGTTTCCATGCCCTGTGAGACAAGAGACTAGAAAGATAGCAGCAATTCTGTTAGCAAAATCTCCCAAGTCGAACAAGCTTTTGCTGAGTAGCTGGACTACATATGTCAAACATTTACGGGCAGCAGTATTAGTGGTTGAAACTGAGACATTGCCTGTGTTTTCTTTATTGCACCATTTCTGTATAGTAGTAACCTAGCATTAAAGAAATTTCCAGGATTTCCTTGTGAGTGAATTTAACCAAAGTTCTGCAATCATTGCAGGCAATGTTCCCCTCAGTGACATATTTTGTTTTACATGCAAAGTATGCCTTGTCTGCGTTTAACTTGTCTTTCTTTAGTGATACATTTCTATTTTTCTAATTGTTGTGTTCTAATTTCCAACATTTTGAAGTGCACATTGGTGTTAACATCACAGATTAGAAATAATTCTAGCTTTAGTTATGGAATCCTATATCACAACTGGTGTTAGAAATAAGGGGCTCACACTCAATATTGTAGCAAAAAAAAAGTACATTTGTTCAGCTGGATTCAGATTAACATTGTGATATGAGTTCTCATTACATGAGAACTCATGAACATTGTGATATGAGTTCAGCTACATTCCTCCACGTGTGCTGGTGTAAATGTACTAGTGTAAATGAGTACATATGGGGGAATGTTCATCTTTGCAAATCTTTATTACTGGGTGAGGACACCACTTTTACACTAGAATTGCCACATCACTATTACCGTTGCTTGCACGGCTTAACCTAATGTACAGTGAATGCAGGGTAAACATGTACAGCCCCCTAAGATGCAAATGAATTCATAGAAATGGAGAAACATGACATTTGAATTAATTCCATAGTCTCTTTGGATTGCCGTACTTTGTGTTCTTTCTTTTTGGGTAGCAAAACAAGAAGACAAATGTACTATAAAAAGTAGCCATCAGTGAAGGTGCCAATGTTATTTGATGTGTCATAAATCCTGCAAAATAAAATGGGTTGAATCTAGATTTAACTGTGTGTGCTTAGGCTTGTAGAAGTGAACTTCCTTATCTACTGCTTTCCCACAGCAGCCCTCCTACAGATCTATAAATGGTCCCCAGATGACTGGGAGACACCAATGAATAGATGAGCTGTGGAAGCAAAGAAAGATTATTAAAACTGAGGGAGTCATCAATAAATAGAATTTTTCCATTAATGGAAAGAAGATTGTCAATTTAACTCAACGTATGTTAAAACCTTGCAATAGCATATGAGTACTACAGTAGGTGGTGATAAATCTATATTATCCAAATGAATATTTCTATTCCTGTGGTGCCTTGGAGTGTGGTGGATTCTCCTTCTTGGGAGGCTTTTTAAACAGAAGCTGGATGGACATCTTTAGAGAATGCTTTGATTGTATATAGCAGGGAGTTGGACTGGATGGCCCTTGCCATTTCTCCCAACTTCATTTCTGTGGTTTATTACAGTACACTAATACTGGAAGGAATGGTTGAAATGTCTGTGTACAGTGAATTTGCTAATAAAATACGGAATGTATTTAAACTACCGTTTATATATTTTAATCTGAGTATTTTATGTGACTATGTTGTCTTACGTGAATGATAAGTGATGCGCAGGGGCGGCTCGTCCATTACGCGAAGTAAGCGGTCGCAGAACACTTTTTTTTGCCAGGGGCGCAGAGGTGCCTCTGTAAATGCCCTTGACCGCCACTTGAGGAGCGCCCCCTCAGCTCACAACAGCCCTAGCAGTCCAGGGTGAGCCTTGGCTTTCTTGCCTCGCTGCCGGGCAATCCTCTTCCCAAAGGGGCCGGGCCCTTGAGCCTCGCCTAGCCCCTCTCGTTCCTGCTCCACCCAGCCACCAGGTGCGCGAGCAGAGTCGGCGTCATTCTCCGTGTTTGATCCCTTCCCCATGACCGGCTCCCTTTCCAGATCCCCCGGCGCTCCACCCGCCTCCTCTCCCCAATCCGTGGGTGGGCCAAGGGGTGGAGCCGCCATGCCTGGCCCGCTTCAGGTCCGGAGGCGTGTCTGAAGACCCCAGCGTGCGCACCAAAAGTCACCTCTTCTCCTGACTTTCTCTTCAGCCATTGGGACCAAGAGAGAGAGAGAGAGAGAGCCCCTCCGGCTGGAGGTATCTCCCACCTCCACTCCCTCCTTTGTTTTTGCGCCTACCTTCAGGAAAGGTGGGCATCTCCACCTCTCTCTCTCTCTCTCTCTCTCTCTTGGTCCCAATGGCTGAGGAGAAAGTCAGGAGAAGAGGTGACTTTTGGTGCACACGCCGGGGTCTTCAGGCACGCCTCTGGACCCAAAGCAGGCCAGGCAAGGGAGCAAGTGCGGCAAGTGTAGTTACTGGGATGTATAGTTCACCTACAATCAAAGAGCATTCTGAACTCCACCAATGATGAAATTGAACCAAATATGGCACACAGAACTCCCGCGACGAACAGAAAATATATATCAATGATTGGTTGGGGGGGCGCCAAAATACTGTTTGCTTACCGTTGAAAATTACCTAGGGCCGCCTCTGGTGATGCTTATAAGTTAAATCAGAGGAAATATATTTATGAGCCAAGAATAAGTGAGTGAGTTTTATTAGTTGTATAACTGACAAATGTGGGGCCTTTTTGTAGAAGATAGCCAGTGGGGATAATAACTTGGTGACAAAACAGAACAGAGGTAATAATTCATAAATTAGGAGGTCATTAATCTTGCCTTTATGCAAAAGCAGGCTAATTTATTTCAGAGAAGTTTGAACCTGAGGTGCAATCTATAATCTATTTGATAGCTTGGTAATTTTGGAGGCATATAATGTAATATTGTGTTATTCTTTTTCCCAAACACAGATTTTTTAAAAGGATGAATGAGAGTCTAAACTGAAAAAATATCAAGTACAGAAATTATAGTACCTGTGTGTTTTTAATTAATGCAACTGAATATCATTTTATAACATGAAACATGTCTGTGTTTGTGATTCTGATAACATTTGTATTTGGGCATTAACCGCTGTATTTTCCAATGAGTACTGAATCAGCAAAAAAAGTTAAAAGTTATCCAGACTTTTGAAGAAAATATGTCTATGGCTTGTCTATGCTAGCCTTGTATCCTAGTTCTATAAGAAGTTGCTTCTGGATATCCAGACAATGTTCAAAGACATATAGTCAGTAACACAGGGTAAGACCTGTAAAACTCCAGAACAGCCACACATGTCATGATAGAATGCTGGGCCAACTCTAATTTGAACTGGCCCACTCTTCATATGGCTATGTGAGCCTCCCCCTCTCCTTGCTTGTATGGTTTCTTTTGCTGATGGTAACTGGTGTTGTCTGGGAGTTTTTTAGGACTGTGTGCTGGCTTCTGTGGTGATGGGAATGACAGTTTACTGATTGTCCAGTGCAGTCTTTCTTGTGCATACTCAAACAAAGGCCCCAATGCCATCAATGAGACTTGCTTATGGTAGGTGCCCATAGATTTACAGCCAGAGCCATGTTGTCTTGTAAAATACGCATGATGTTCTCTAGCTGCCGGGATTTTCATTATGGCACAGCTCTCCCATTGCTCAATAGGAAGACTTGAACAGCTGAAGGCTACAATATATAAGGGGGGGGGGGATTCATCGATGGAGATCTAATACTTTTTATAAAGCAGCTACAGAGGTTATCAGATTATACTGGGCATTGGGAAAGGTAGACCTGGTGGTTTTAAAATAAAATCCTTGTTATCTGTTCAATGGTCAAAAACAATTTTGCTTGTAAATGAAAAACTTGTAAATCTCTGATTCCCCTTAAAATTCCAGTTTCACCCTTGATTCACAGATATGTCTAAAGGCAAATCTGGCTCAATACTTTCCTAACATTTTTAATAGACTCCCTATAAGGTTTATGGGAGAGTGATAAATAATTTGTGCAATATAAACCATCTCCCTGCTGTGTGACTTCTTACTTTTGTTGTAGGAGATATAGTAAGCTAGTAGTCTAGATGTGTGTTTTTAGTTGCAAATATATCTTTATAAGGTTTACAAAGATCTGCTCTAATGAATTTCCCCAAAGGATATCATTGTTTTAGCTCTAATGTAGAACTGATGGAATAATAACTGTAGAAACAAAAAAATTGTTGATAGAGAAAAGAGCAGCAAAAACCTTTTAGCAATTTTGTCTGAATCCTAATTGCATTTGTTTTCTCTACAAATTGTGAAACCCATAACATAATCCAAAAAACACTTCATTTTCTCTCCACAGAAGATGATGCTGTTGAACTTCCTATGATGTTTATACCTCAGTATCCTGGCCGATATCCTTGCCACATTCTTCTGCAATCCAAATACGATATCCGTCTTTTTAAAATCGAGTGTGTGGTGAATACAGATACTACTGAAGCTGAGTTAGAATTTGTAACTCCAGCATATCATGCTGTGACTCAAGACATTCCAATAGTATGTTCACTTTGCTTCCTGAAACTCCAACAAGGCTAGGAATGTCTAAGGTTACAATGATGTTTTAGCAAAACACACACATATATGTATTCTGTAAAAAAATGGGAAATGGGATGGACATGGAAGTTTTTCCTGCATTTAATTTATATTACTTTAAAAACCTTGTGTAATTTTGGGTGCATAATTATAACAATACAAATAGCTGAAAAAAGTTTTTAGCTTGCATAGATTAATGGAAATTTATGCAAGTATCAGAGCCCTCCTGCACACCTCCTTACTTCATGTAGATTATATTGTGCGTTGAATTCTATTTTCCTGCTTCTCGGCAGGGGGTTGGACTGGATGGCCCACAAGGTCTCTTCCAATTCTATGTGTCTATATTTGAAAAATCAGGAGAGTCCTTCTGAAGAATGGGGAATCTGGAGAAGCGGAGAATCAGAGAGAATAGACAGACCACTGTCTTGTTTTGGAATAATGTCATTCTCCACCAACAATCTTCCATTAACTGTTAATAAATTTGTGTGCAGGATTTTTCCATTTTTTGAAGGAACTGTTACACCTGCTTATTTGTTTCAGACTAACATGAGTCAACAGGATTGGAAACTTGATGCCATTATAAAGGGATGCAGTTTTTATGGCCCCCCTCTTATATATGTAGCCCCAGGTGAAACAACTCCCTACACTCTTATGTATAAGCCAACTGCAGAAGGTGAAACCAAGGTAAGAGAAAAAAGTCTCATGTTTTGTGCATGAGAAGAACTTGTATACAGAAATGGTTTGAAGGTCTAGCTAACCAGTATTCTTATGGTGACTCCAAAACAGTAGTAGCATAGTTTGTTGTGGGCACTTGAATAAAGTACATTTTGGGCCTCTTTCCAAGTTTGTTTGGATATATGCTATAATTCAAAAATCAAGAAACCGAGGGAGGCAAAGGGAAAATATGAGATACTTCTGGTCTCTTAAAGAGATTACAGGCTGAGAGAGCTGCCTCCATAGGTAGAAATGTTAACATTTGCAGAACAGCTCAAGAGTAAAGATGACAACCGACAATACTATGAAGTTTTAAAAATAAAAAACACACATATTGAATTGTCTTTATTTTAACAAATTACTCTTCTGGTCTGGCTTTCTCTGTCAACCTCTATCTCCTTGTGCTCAAATATTTTATGATATTTATACTGCTTATCCAATCCTTGTCTTTTATATCCTGTCTCCTTTTCTTTCCTTCCTTTCTAAAACTGCATTCTTGTGCATATTTACCTGAGAATATGCTCTATTGAACTCAATGGAGCAACATATAGCTTTATGCTTTCTGAAACAACCCACAGAGGTAGCATTCCTCTGTACATCCTTAGAAGGATGTTCTGTACATGCTCCTATATGCCTCTCTCCTTTTCTACACAATAAAATCTTTTAAAACATGTTTGGGTAAAGGAGGTGCTAAGAGCTGGGCACAAAAAAAAGTAGGGGAAGGAAGAACAAAGGAGAAAACATCCAGAACTGTGAGGGAAAGGCTAAGCTAAAATAGACAAAAGGAAAGGAGGTACCAAAATTACAAGCTTTCTCAAAAAGCAGAAGGCATAGTTCTTTAGGATATAATTGGAAACCTAGTTCTCACCAATATATTTTTTCCATATTATTGAAATCTATCTGTTATGAAGAGGACAAAGAGTCATATTTTGTATTGCCAAAGGCTTTCATGGCCGGAATCACTGGGTTGTTGTAAGTTTTTTGGGCTGTATGACCATGTTCTAGAAGCATTCTGTCCTGACATTTCACCTGCATCTGTAGCAGGCATCCTCAGAGGTTGTGAGGTCTGTTGAAACTAGAAAAAATGGGTGTATATATCTGTGGAAAGTCCAGGGTGGGAGAAAGAACTCTTGTCTGTTGGAGCTAGGTGTGAATGTTTCAATTGGCTAGCTTGATTAGCATTTGATGGCCTGACAGTTTTTAGGTGTGCCCTGTTACTGCCTGAGGGAATTCTTTGTTGAGAAAAATCTGTTCCTGATTTTTTCTCCTCTGGAGTTCCCCGGTGTTTGAGTTTTAATACTGGTAGCCAGATTTTGTTCATTTTCATGGCTTCTTCTTTTCTGTTGAAAATGGCATATTTTGTGTAAGCTAACTTGTATAAGGAAACAAATTGAAGGTTTGACATGAAATCCATAAATTTGTATGACACACCAATATCCTTACAGAGAAGGTGTGGCAGTGAAGGACAGTCAGTGCCTAGCAGCATTCCTTACAAGCTGTATTGCCCACAATAAGTTGTTCTTGTTTTTGTTTTACTGAATTTTTTTGGGTATAATATATACTGTGATGTATGGATTATACTCTATATTGGTAGTATTTGTTCTCAGAGCATTTGCTTGTTTTATATTTTATATTTTTATTCTTATTCCTGCTCTTTCTCCAAAGAGCTCATAGAAATGTGCATAATGTGTAATAGTTGCCATTATCCAGCTTGTTTAGAACTGTGTAAAACTGGTATTCCATTGTATCATCCTTGTAAAAAAAAATCTGGTTTAATTCTTTCAATGAAAACTATTTCCTCTCGTGATTAGACACAGCATTTCCTATGGCATCCATCAGAAAACCTCTTTCACAATTCCTGTCTTTTCTTTAAAAAAAAATCTACATTGGTAATGATTGTTTACTTCTTTTGTTTATCATAGGGGAAGCTTATTTTACAGAACAAAGCTGATGGCACGGATCATATTTTTGTCCTGAAAGGGGTTGCAACAAAACCATTGGCACTGGATCATATTAAGATAGAATGCCAAGTTAGACAGATTACAGAGAAAGTAATAATGGTGCCCAATTTTACCAAGACTGAATTGAAATACAAGGTAAATCTGTGGATGCTTGAATGAGTGGGAACATGTAATTTCTTCACAGAATCAGAAGCCCTACTTCTTTCTCTTCTACATGTTTAGAAATGTTCTTATTTCACTCTTTAGCCTGCAGACTCAGAATGGGGAATACTACTTGGAATCATCTCATATTAATTTAGAATGGAATACTTGCTACTGTAGAATTCACTAAAATGGGAGAGACTTAAACTGAATTTAAGTGTTAAATTGTTTATTCCTAACAGTTTCCCAGGCAGATTATAGGTGTATTGTCAAAGCCTTTCATGGCCAGAATCACTGGGTTGCTGTAAGTTTTTCGGGCTGTATGGCAGTGTTCCAGGAGCATTTTGCCTGCATCCATGGCAGGCATCCTCAGAGGTTGAGAGATTTGACCTCTCAACCTCTGAGGATGCCTGCCATAGATGCAGACGAAACGTCAGGAGAGAATACTTTTGGAACATGGCCATACAGCTCGAAAAAATTACAGCTACCCAGATTACAGGTGTTCAGCCAAAAAAGCCTAGTTAATTCAACTAAGTTTGTGAGTTACCCAAGGCTTCCTTAGATTATGTAGAAGATGGCACAAATAAAAGGAAAGGGGTTAGAGTTTGGGGGGGGGGGGGGAACAAAACATATTCAAGTAATTTTAAAAATTGTATTAGAACAATAAATGCAGTATACTTTAGACAGGGAAAGTTTTAAACTAAATTAGGTGCTTTTCATTATTACAGCTATCATTATTTTATGTTATTAAGTGTATATAATGATTGTATTTTTGTTGATTTTACTTGTTGACCTTATTAATACATTAAGAAACTCCACACTATGATGTACTTTCTCGATACAGATACTGTTTTAATGTTTTTCTTGGATATGTTTTTGTTGATTACAATATTGGGAATTTTGTTTTCTTGAATAAAAATATACTAAAAATAGATTATATAGAGTCACACATCTTCCACATCTATAAGGTAACACCCTTTATTTTGTAAGGGGACTTTCTCTCTACATACTTCGAGGATTCTCTGAGTAAGTTTGATTTGGGTATTTTAAAGGTGACCTCAGTGACTCAATTACTTTCACTTACGTGTTAATCACTTTAGGTTGCATAACTATAGTGTTTGCTCTCCTCATCAGTTGTTGTGTCCGACTGGTGTTTGCCCCTGTGACATAGGTTGTAGGTTTGCATAGCTACTTGGTCATATATTATCTATATATTTTACTTGTGAGAGCTACTTTCAGGTTTTCTTCCTACCCTTCTGGTACCTTATTTTATTTATTTGTTGGTGTATTCATGTTGAGATACATTATCCAAAATTCCCTCTGAATTGGTATACCAACCATTCATCTCACTTCTTGTTCTGTTCTTCACTTCTCTAAAATTGTGGATCCTTATTTTAATAAACCAAGATGAGTTCAATGAAAGTAATTTGCTTATGTAGGGAAATGTCTGGCCTTTTGTGAATTAAGGAGGCAAGGTTTGTTTGAAAACATATTTGTCTGTATGTGATTTGTGCACTAAAATACTGAATAGCTCTGTACAATTCTGCCTCAACATACAATTGCTTTAACACTGCTTCAAAGGGCCCTCTCAATCTGCCATCTCATTTGCAAGTGATTTGCAGGACAGGCATCTTGTTGATTTCAAGGAGTGGGGAACAAAATTATTTGAAATGTTGTGATGGAAGTCATGTTTATTGGGGTAACAAGGTAAGTACAAGTGGACGTTTCTTTTGTTTTATCAAGGAGTAGGAAGACACAATCTGCGGAATCGAGCAATAGGCACATTAGCAAGAGGAATCTAATCTGGACAGTTGATAATATCCTCCCATTGCCCTGAAATGATTTTATGATTCCAAGTAGTGGTAGTCCAAGGGTTTTTTGTGACGAGGGAGTTCCTGTAGTCAGAAAAAGAGAAAGGTAAGGTGAGGTAGATGCCACTGTTTTACCACTACAAACAGATTTGGATTCCCCATATATGATTCTTAAATCTATTGGGATGGTCGGAGTTTAAATTAATGTGTGTATCACTTGGATGTGAGATACAAGGTAATATAAAATGTTAATCCCATCCTGAACCACCTAACTTTGCATGTTGTCAATGCAAATAGAATGCCTAATGATATTTTTTCTATTTTGAGCAGTTTGAAACTTTAGTATAGACATTGTATGGTTGATGGGCTTGCAGCCATTTTTATATTTTTTCTCCATGGTTAAGGTATAGTAATTAGTAAATGTTTCCCTTTGTGTTTTATATGAGTCTTGGTGGTTGGATTTTTGAATAATGAGATACATTAAGTTATTGATTGTATGCCAATGCCATTTCTTTAAGAAGTTATTTACATTAGCCAGTTTTGTATTTTTTTGCTTCATTATAACTCAGTTAAATATCAATATTGGAATTTGTTTAGCAAAACATAGTATTTCTAGCTGTCCTTTTCAGAAAAGATAATCCTTTGGTAGCCCATTGAGGTGACTGGTGGATATTGTGGGGTTTTATAGTTATAGTGTTTTGTTTAATTATCTTTGTCTCTTATTGTACTATGTTTAGTAGAAAGGGCACTAAAATAAACATTATTATCATATACTCTTAATAGGGCAAATATGGTGTTTCAATCCTTTTGTCACATATTAGGGAGGTTAACTTTGCACTTTCAGGGAATTACATGAACCCTTATATTTTCATATAATATGGCTTTTTGTGGGGAAAACTTTTTATTTATTTTTTCTTCATACTGTTTGCAACTCACACATCTATTGTGTGCCTACATAGCATTAGTTGGAAACTTGTAGGGCTAGTTTTAGGAGCACATCCACCCTCTTAAAATCATAGTGTAGGAAAAGACCATAAAGGCCATCCAGTCCATCTCCATTCTTCCATGCAGGAACACCCAATCAAAGCATTCCCAATAGGTGCCCATTCAGGCTCTGTTTAAAAACCTTCAGAGAAGGGGACTCCACCACACCCTCAGGCAACATTTTCCATAGTTGAACAGCTCTTACCACCAGGAAGTTCTTCCTAATGTTTAGTTGGACTCTCTTTTCTTACAGTTTGAATCCATTGCTCCATGTCTTTGTCTCTAAAACAACAGGCAAGCTTTCCCCCTCCTCAGTGATATCCTTTTCAATGTGACATTTTTCAGTGCTAGTATAATGCAGCCACCTGTTAGTTCTGCTCTCTTCCTTTTGCTTGAATATTATAGCAGTAGGCTATAAAGAAAGCAACCTTGTCATTTATCTTCAGATCTACCTTTTTGGTACATCTCCTCTTGTCATACAGTTTCATTCATAAGTTCCTGTTTTGTCCTCTCTACTGTTAGTCTATGCCTCATCATCCACCCATCATATGATCATTAGTTTCCCCCTAGGGCTTAGGGACTCTAGTCAATATTTGATTTGCCTGGGAGATACCAGTATGGTTGAAAAGTACACAAATGGTCATAAATTCAACAGATTTGCACTTCAAAACCTGGTAATATGTTTAAAAACATTTGCATTAGAAGTTGCTATAAGGCCACAAGTGCTTGAAGAAAGGTTGTCCCTAACACATTTCTCAGGAATGGACAATTGTAGAAAATATTTCTCTTCCATAAATCTCTAGATGTTGGAATTCACTTTGACAGCATAAACAATATGCAGAAAAGACTAAATATAGCTGCATCTACATCACAAAGTTATGGCAGTGTGACACCACATAAACTGTAACGATTATATGCTATGGCATTCTGGGATTTGTAGTTTTGTGACATAGTTGTCAGGGAACTTTGGTGCCACAACAAACTACAAATCCCAGTATTTCATAGGATGGAGCTATGGTAGTTAAAGAGGTGTCAAACTGTAGTAATTCTGCATTTTAGATGGTCTTTGTGTTGTTTGATATGGCAACTACAGTTGTTTCTAACAATGAAGCTTCTGGAACAAAGGCTTTTTTGAGCTGATGGCCTCAAGATTGACAAAGCTTAGTAGTTCAAAATGTGATACTCACTCCAAGTCAGTTGACTTCATTCCATAAAAGCAAAGTTCAAGAAGATTATCATGAAGAAAAGGTGAGGAAGAAAAGGAGGATGACAAGGACACATTTTTCTCATTGCTCTAGATCAGGGGTCCTCAAACTTTTTAAACAGAGGGCCAGGTCACAGTCCCTCAAACTGTCGGAGGGCCAGATTATAAATTGAAAAAAACATGAATTCCTATGCACACTGCACATATCTTATTTGTAGTGCAAAAGCCACTTAAAAACAATAGAATAATTAAAATGAAGAACAATTTTAACAAATATAAATTTATTAGTATTTCAATGGGAAGTGTGGTCCTGCTTTTGGCTGATGAGATAGGATTGTTGTTGTTGTTGTTGTGTGCTTTTGAGTCATTACAGACTTAGGTTGACCCTGAGTGAGGGCCGGGTAAATCACCTTGGAGGGCCGCATCCGGCCCCCGGGCCTTAGTTTGAGGACCCCTGCTCTAGATCTCTCAGGTCATACAGGCGGCCCCATTTTCAATACAGCATATATCAACTATTCTCTCTTCACTTACTCCACAGGCAACCATGTTTGCATCCCTGTGCTATCATTCTCCCACCACTTTCGCTTTCATAGTTTTACAGGGTATTTAGCTTTGTCTGCCAAAGAGTGCTGGTGCCTCATCAAACTACAACTCTCAGGGTTCCATACCATTGCACCATGCCAGTTAGTGGTGTCAAACTGCATTAATTCCACAATGTAGATGGACCCACAATTTTATTCTTCAATCTTTATCCTATACAGCTGGCATGGGCAAATAGATTAGAACAATATTTGCTCTTCGATCCTAGAACCCTTCCCCATTTCAATAATCAGGAATTAATTGCTTTAAAAGATGATGACTTACAGTTCATAGCATCATATTTAGAATGTGCTTACTGGATGGTTGGGCAATAACTTCTAGACCCATTGGCCATTCTGTCTGGAGTTTCTGGGATTTGAATTACAGCATATAGAAAGCCAAGTTTGGGAATTACT